GATTATCTTTCAGGCTCCATCTCATCCTCCACCCCCTCCTCCACTTCATGCCCGCACATCGTGCCATATTCTAAACACCCCCTGTTGTGCATGTTGAGGATCTCCTCTGATGGCATCCATAAGCATCTATAAAAAATAAAAAACATTAAACTAAAAGAAAGAAATATATGTTTACCTTAAGAATAGTTTTAAAAACCCTTAGAGATACTGTACTAAAAATTAAACCTTTAGTAATTGGTTAGGATCATACTCGTGAACCTCTAGAGCCATTGTTTCATATACAAACAGTTAACTACAATACAACATTAAAATATACATATTGCACCAACCAGAAATCAAACATTCAACAAAGATCGATCCAGTAGACCTCTAGACTTAAGGGGTTCACACAACCATAGTGCGTGTGTAAAACTCATAGTGATAGGTTAAAATCAAACCCACAAACCTCTGGACTCAAGGGTTCATATCGGGGCTATAGAATACAGGGGCTGGCTCACGTCGACTAGCAAAGTGGTCCCACTGCCGTGTGGCTGTGACGTCACCGGGCTGCCTCCACGGGTGTAGCTAGCTTACCAACAGATTATCTTTCAGGCTCCATCTCATCCTCCACCCCCTCCTCCACTTCATGCCACTTCATGCACATCGTGCCATATTCTAAACACCCCCTGTTGTGCATGTTGAGGATCTCCTCTGATGGCATCCATAAGCATCTATAAAAAATAAAAAACATTAAACTAAAAGAAAGAAATATATGTTTACCTTAAGAATAGTTTTAAAAACCCTTAGAGATACTGTACTAAAAATTAAACGTTTAGTAATTGGTTAGGATCATACTCGTGAACCTCTAGAGCCATTGTTTCATATACAAACAGTTAACTACAATACAACATTAAAATATACATATTGCACCAACCAGAAATCAAACATTCAACAAAGATCGATCCAGTAGACCTCTAGACTTAAGGGGTTCACACAACCATAGTGTGTGTGTAAAACTCATAGTGATAGGTAAAATCAAACCCACAAACCTCTGGACTCAAGGGTTCATATCGGGGCTATAGAATACAGGGGCTGGCTCACGTCGACTAGCAAAGTGGTCCCACTGCGTTGTGGCTGTGACGTCACCGGGCTGCCTCCACGGGTGTAGCTAGCTTACCAACAGATTATCTTTCAGGCTCCATCTCATCCTCCACCCCCTCCTCCACTTCATGCCCGCACATCGTGCCATATTCTAAACACCCCCTGTTGTGCATGTTGAGGATCTCCTCTGATGGCATCCATAAGCATCTATAAAAAATAAAAAACATTAAACTAAAAGAAAGAAATATATGTTTACCTTAAGAATAGTTTTAAAAACCCTTAGAGATACTGTACTAAAAATTAAACGTTTAGTAATTGGTTAGGATCATACTCGTGAACCTCTAGAGCCATTGTTTCATATACAAACAGTTAACTACAATACAACATTAAAATCTACATATTACACCAACCAGAAATCAAACATTCAACAAAGATCGATCCAGTAGACCTATTAGACTCAAGGGGTTCACACAACCATAGTGTGTGTGTAAAACTCATAGTGATAGATTAAAATCAAACTCACAAACCTCTGGACTCAAGGGTTCATACCGGGGCTATAGAATACAGGGGCTGGCTCACGTCGACTAGCAAAGTGGTCCCACTGCCGTGTGGCTGTGACGTCACCGGGCTGCCTCCACGGGTGTAGCTAGCTTACCAACAGATTATCTTTCAGGCTCCATCTCATCCTCCACCCCCTCCTCCACCTCATGCCCGCACATCGTGCCATATTCTAAACACCCCCTGTTGTGCATGTTGAGGATCTCCTCTGATAGCATCCATAAGCATCTATAAAAAATAAAAATCATTAAACTAAAAGAAAGAACCACGGGTGTAGCTAGCTTACCAACAGATTATCTTTCAGGCTCCATCTCATCCTCCACCCCCTCCTCCACTCCCTCCTCCACTTCATGCCCGCACATCGTGCCATATTCTAAACACCCCCTGTTGTGCATGTTGAGGATCTCCTCTGATGGCATCCATAAGCATCTATAAAAAATAAAAAACATTAAACTAAAAGAAAGAAATATATGTTTACCTTAAGAATAGTTTTAAAAACCCTTAGAGATACTGTACTAAAAATTAAACGTTTAGTAATTGGTTAGGATCATACTCGTGAACCTCTAGAGCCATTGTTTCATATAGAAACAGTTAACTACAATACAACATTAAAATCTACATATTACACCAACCAGAAATCAAACATTCAACAAAGATCGATCCAATAGACCTCTATACTCAAGGGGTTCACACAACCATAGTGTGTGTGTAAAACTCATAGTGATAGGTTAAAATCAAACCCACAAACATCTGGACTCAAGGGTTCATACCGGGGCTATAGAATACAGGGGCTGGCTCACGTCGACTAGCAAAGTTATCCCACTGCCGTGTGGCTGTGACGTCACAAGGGCTGCCTCCACGGGTGTAGCTAGCTTACCAACAGATTATCTTTCAGGCTCCATCTCATCCTCCACCCCCTCCTCCACTTCATGCCCGCACATCGTGCCATATTCTAAACACCCCCTGTTGTGCATGTTGAGGATCTCCTCTGATGGCATCCATAAGCATCTATAAAAAATAAAAAACATTAAACTAAAAGAAAGAAATATATGTTTACTTTAAGAATAGTTTTAAAAACCCTTAGAGATACTGTACTAAAAATTAAACGTTTAGTAATTGGTTAGGATCATACTCGTGAGCCTCTAGAGCCATTGTTTCATATACAAACAGTTAACTACAATACAACATTAAAATCTACATATTACACCAACCAGAAATCAAACATTCAACAAAGATCGATCCAATAGACCTCTATACTCAAGGGGTTCACACAACCATAGTGTGTGTGTAAAACTCATAGTGATAGGTTAAAATCAAACCCACAAACATCTGGACTCAAGGGTTCATAACGGGGCTATAGAATACAGGGGCTGGCTCACGTCGACTAGCAAAGTGGTCCCACTGCCGTGTGGCTGTGACGTCACCGGGCTGCCTCCACGGGTGTAGCTAGCTTACCAACAGATTATCTTTCAGGCTCCATCTCATCCTCCACCCCCTCCTCCACTTCATGCCCGCACATCGTGCCATATTCTAAACACCCCCGTTGTGCATGTTGAGGATCTCCTCTGATGGCATCCATAAGCATCTATAAAAAATAAAAAACATTAAACTAAAAGAAAGAAATATATGTTTACCTTAAGAATAGTTTTAAAACCCCTTAGAGATACTGTACTAAAAATTAAACGTTTAGTAATTGGTTAGGATCATACTCGTGAACCTCTAGAGCCATTGTTTCATATACAAACAGTTAACTACAATACAACATTAAAATATACATATTGCACCAACCAGAAATCAAACATTCAACAAAGATCGATCCAGTAGACCTCTAGACTTAAGGGGTTCACACAACCATAGTGTGTGTGTAAAACTCATAGTGATAGATTAAAATCAAACTCACAAACCTCTGGACTCAAGGGTTCATACCGGGGCTATAGAATACAGGGGCTGGCTCACGTCGACTAGCAAAGTGGTCCCACTGCCGTGTGGCTGTGACGTCACCGGGCTGCCTCCACGGGTGTAGCTAGCGCGCGGAACATATACAAACCGCTCATTTAAACGCTTAACTGAATGTACACAATTAAATTGCCCGTATGAAACTTATATCGTTGTAATCTGCATTAACTACAGAATCTGATGGTCCAAAAATATTTTAGTTATGATCAATAATGTGTATCTTTAAAAGGGGAAAACTATGAGGATTACAATCTTGTGAACTACAAAAAGTCACTAAGCGGGTATTATTTTTTTTATGGGATAGGAATAAACTTTGAGCGAGAAAAATATTCATTAATAGTTCTACTTCAATAATTAGCCTGAAAATTCGCGATAAAACCAACGGATCGTTTATTGCTTATCAGAAAGTTAAGCTTTATAAATTTGGCAATCATATTACTTCGTTCCGCACATGTCCGCATCGTGTTGTTTATAACAAGATAGTAAAAAATTGCACTGTTTCTATTAGTGAAACAAGTGATTAGTGCTAAAACTGAATTTTAAGAATTGTGTAGACTTACGGCTTAGAATGTTATTTATCTTGTTTGATATTCCGGTACCCCTGGTCATATATTCTAATACACTTGGTTGGGTATCTTTTAGGAATGTGTAATGGTTTAGGTAATTTTATATTGTTAGTAGAACAAAGTGTTTATTCGTAGAAAATAAGTACCTAAAAGAGCGTTTTAATGCGATAGTATTTTTATTATAATAGTTGTATCCTATTTCGCTGATTTTAGCCACTTACTCATCTTCTGATCATTTTATTCTATCTTCTTCTGAAAGAAACAGAAGACGCGAATAACAATGAAAGAGCGAAGTTGATTTCAAACGTATTTGATGCAGTGTTGCCATAACAACAACCTCAAATTTGCGAGGCGAGTGGCAAAACTACCCGCCAGCGCTCAGTTGTAACAATCATCTTTTGAGACGATTTATTAATGATGTTAGAGGTATTTAAGAATTGTTAAGTAATTACTATGGAAGAACTGATTGACTAGAGTTTTTTCGCTGAATCAAAAACACATTAGTTGCATCAGGCTACAGTGCTTAGTATTTTACCAACTTCTTATTATTGTATTATTTTACTCAGTAACAGATTTTCTCCGGGGATATTTCCAATACAATCCCCCAACTACCCTAGGGGGCCTAAGGGCTCCACCCCCAGCGAGCTAAAGGCGAGTAACTATCTATACATAGTTATAAGTAAATCTAAATACTGAATCGACATTGGCTTAGCTTTCCAATAGCGGTTTGAGCAATCGTCACCACGGCCAAATCACCTGTTGCAGTATTGATGTCTAATTAATTCCGGACGGATATCGAGCTACGTGAGCCGGTTGTAACGAGGTTCAACGCCCCCGCACACCACTGTTGTCAACGCCCGCGCACACCACTGTTGTCAACGCCCGCTAGCCGCACACCACTGGTGTCTTTGTCGTCACGCCACCATGATCCTACCCGCTCTAGTGTCTCTGGCCATGATAGCCCTGGTGAGCAGCAAGGTGTACGAGAGGTGCGAGTTAGTGAGGGAGTTATCTCAACCCAAACACCGTATACCACCGGGAGACCTCGCCACCTGGGTGTGCATCGCCGAGCACGAGTCTCGCTACAACACTTCCGCCGTGGGTCGCCTCAACGCTGACATGAGTGGCGACCACGGGCTGTTCCAGATCAGCGACCGCTACTGGTGCTCGCCCCCGGGCTCGGGATTGGCCTGCGGACTCAACTGCGATCAGCTGGAGGACGATGACATCGCTGACGACGTAGTGTGCGCTCGCAGGATCTACCGGGCTCACAAGCGCCGCACAGGGGACGGGTTCGCCGCCTGGGCTGTTTACAAGCCGCACTGCAGTGGGGATGTGTCTGAGTATACAGAGTGCGACGACGAGATTACCACTGATGAAGCTGACACTCAAAGTAAATAGGTAGCTCTTAGTTAACATGCTGTTAAAATTACATCAATCCACTGAGAGATAACTTTTTTAAATAAACCATTTATTTCAGTTATGAGTTGCGTTTTCTTTATGCCTTCGCAGTTTTTTACCTTACAAAGAGAAATTTTCTTGATATATTTTTGCCCTACATTGGACAAATACATAAATTTAATCCAAGCACTAATTTTAATCCTTTGTGCTTTTTGATGAGCAAGAGAGACATTCTACGTAGTTTTTACATTATATTGGTTTAAATTCACAACTCAACATTCTACGTATAGAAAGCCTTATTATTATAAATTAAATTGAAGTATTAATAGCACTTTTAGTATAATTTTAAATTTTAATATCTACACCTAAATAAACTCGACATTATAACTGTTTATTATCCCGGACCTTTTGATAGTCAAGCAGACACCTCAAAGAACTTAGTTGAACCAAATAAATTAATATTTTCTACCTTAGTGTTTTGTTTTTAAGATTATTTACACTAGTGTGTATACGAGAGACTAGTGAGTATTTTAATAGGGCTACATACTGGTTTACGAGGCTAAACAAACCCAATGCAATACGATTTACCATTCAAATTTTACACACTTTTTTTACCTAAAAAATTTGTCATATTGAGTTCTAATAGTGTAAATTGATGCTAAGAGTATCTTAATGTTAAATTATTACTTATGTGTTACAATCAAGTAGCGCACATCCTCTTAATATGATTGCACTTTCAAATTTATAATTTCCTAATGATTATAATAGACTTTATTCAGGGGACATTTTAACTAGTAGGTGGATTAATTTTTATAGCCTTGACTTACGACCCTATACATTTAAGTCTCATTACATTTCTGAAGCCTATTTAAATGTATGTTTCACGTCTTTATGCTCTTATGATGGCTGAAAGCTTTTCACTCAGTTAAGCGTACGTTTTACTGGATGCGCTTGCATTTATGACAAATCCTGCATCTTAGCTTATGAGGAATTGTTGTATATTTCGAAGGCTTGTGGTTGTAAAATACTGTAATGGTTTACACACTAATACCAAACTACCTAGACTAAATTGAACGAAATGTATTACGAGGTTTCTATATTCCAAAAATGTCAAAAGAGAAAGTGTAAATCAGAAATAATTGATAAACTGATAAAAAGATAAGAGCGTGTGTGGCCAAACGAGTTTAAATGTTAGATTTTGAATTAGCTGAATGCTATTTTCACTGTAAATCTAAAACCAAATTTACTAATGTATTTTTATTTAATAGTGTTAGGAAAGAAAAGTTTTAGTTCTTTGTCCACTGTAAACGAGAGCCTAATTATCACGTGAATAAAAAACACTGAAATCATCAATGGTCAGGAAGGCTTCGTTTTTCATTGTGCAATTTTTTGTCTTTGTGACTGAATCCGGCCTTAAAAGTTTTAGGCTAAACGATCGCATAGCTAAACAAACTATCTCTATACATTATTATTGTGTGTATTCTGTGAGCTTAAACACATTATTAGAAAAAATAACAATTTGTTTTCTATTTATGTAGTATAAAATATGTACAACCTTTGACTATCGTTGATAGTCAGTGGTACAGCTTAGTTATTACAGTACCCTAAAACGTCATAAACAATAAAATACGTTGAATACTAGATCAATTCTATAAATAATTTTTCGGACGTTGTCCAATGCACTGTGTTATGTAGCTGCGTTCTTTTTACGACTGAATTATAGTTGGATAAACATTCGTCAGTTAAGTTGGACGTTAAAACAAATATATCGAGTATTACATTGCAAACAGTTAAAATACAATTGATTGAGATTTCTTCCTCATTTTTTAGATGTAGGTGGTAGTGGCTGCAAAATAAAAAAAATCTCAGGGGTATCGTTTGATGCTTCAGAAAAAATAGAAAGGCTTGAGGTCTTTGCCACATACTCAGATGTAAGTGGTAAGTGGCAATGACTGAAGTGGCTGCGAATTAAAATTCTCTGGGGTGTCGTTGGATGCTTCGGGATAATTTCTGCTACTTAAATAAATTCCCTGTTCTTGCGAGTATTAATTCACTCCAAACCCTTTTTCTTCGCCTTTTACAATTTAGCTTACTGAATTTTGAAGAACATTTTCCCTATAAGGTTTTGAGCTCAGTTTTGCATTCCGGTGAGGAAAACAGTCTGCTTCTGAAATGTCCTTTTTATAGAGTTTGAGAAGGGGGGGGGGTAGGTGGGAAGAGGGGGGCTAAAGTGTTTTTAGTGTTCAAAGTTCAAAGTAGTACACTGTTGAAGTTTCAATTGGGGTTATCCTTGAGCATCTATAAATCATATGAAAGGGCATTAAACTAACAGAATTTAAAAACTAAACTAAGTAAAATTATATTTAAAAAAGTGGCAACATTAAATTCCTTCACGTCATCCTCCTCCTCTGCCTCATGCTCGCATCTGGTGCCAAACTCCAGGAATGGGCAAAAATGTGCAGTAAGGAATTCACATGGTCCAAGCCTCTCACATCTATAAATCACACAGGTAGATTGTTAAAAACAAGCCTAGCCTAACAACTGCCCGCGGTGTGGAAACTTGGGTCACCTAAGCTAAGTAAAATTAGATTTAAAAAAGGCAGCAGCTTAAAAGTTATCTTTCTGCCTCCTCTTCTCCCTCTCCTCCACTTCATGACTACATACTTTAAATATCTCCCATAATGCACCGTCAAAATCTCATTTGAGGTCATCCATGAGGATTTACTAATCATATAAAAAGCATTAAACTAACAGAAAGAAATATATGTTTACCTTAAGAATTGAATAGTTTAAAAAACCTAAAGCCCCTAAAGAGCCCCAAAGTTTATAGATACATACTCGCAACATAGAGTAATCCATTTATCCCAGTGATCCTCAAAGGAACAGCAAACCAAATAGCACGGACACGCCAACAGCTCATATTTCCTATATATTTCCTATTAAATCTACTTAAATAGTTATTTAAAGTGGTAACCAATGCTTATTTCAATTTGCTATATAGTAAAAGCTTTATAAATTGGCAGACTATTTATAAACTGTTTGGACAACGATGACAATAGTTTAACATATAAATCAAATTTGTACAGCTACACAAGATATAAATATTTAATTTTTATTACTTCTTTAGGATAATAAATAAAAAAAAAACAGTAGCTGCTATCTAGCTAATGATATAATTATTCAATATATCAATTATAACCATGTTTGCAGGGTTAAGAAAAGTTATCATTTCAACAAAAAAGATATGAGAATAAAAAAACATTTTTTATAATTTATAAAGGACAAAGTGTTATATAGATATAATATTATGTTACCCCATTATTCTCCTTCTTCGTCTGTCTCTACCAGCAAGTGTTGATCATCTTCACCTTCCCTATGGACAACAATCTCACTAGGATTAAATGACAAAATTGCACTCCCATTCAATAACATTTCAATTAAATTTTGAATGTCTGGGTTAGTTTCCTAAACGAGAGGAGGATCATGAGACTCTTCATAATCACTAATATCGTCCGCACCCCCGTCAGCACCCTCATTTACACTATCACTTTCTTCATCAATAGGAACATCTTCAATAGGAACATTTTCAATAGGTCCATCTTCAAGTTCTTCTTCCACCTTCATAATTGGGACGTTGATCGGACTCATGGTTGAAGAAATTCAATTGAGGAAAGTTGAATACTACATGTCCTTTTTATATAGTTTGAGTAGGTGGGGTGGTAGGTGAGAAGGGGAGAGGACTGGTATTACAACCTACTACGTAACAGAGTAAGATTAAAACTGCAAGTGCTTATTTTAGAATTTGGAAAAAGTGAATTATCATTACAGTGTTGATTTTTGAATATTTACTATCTCTTTTTGGTTTTGCAAATTAAAGATTACCAAGACAACATTTCCTTTGCATCCCGGATAAGATAATCAGATTTCCTTGGACATGTAGGGCTTATCACATCTCTAGACAATCTAATAGAAAAATGCTCTCCAGTATCGTTACGTTTAATAATGATGTGATTAAACCATACACATCTGACAAAGAACTACTTCATACACCTTTTCGTTCTTCCTACCCGGATTGCTTTGGGAAGCTTGCAGAAGACTCTGCACTATTCTTGGGTTTGGAATGAGTGGAGCACATATTACCATTCAAAACACAAACCTTTTCACAGTGTTTCCTTTATTAATACCCTTTTTAAACACGTATTTACACTTAGAAATCGAGAGTGAAAACATTTTCATATTGAATCTCTTATTTTATTTTTATTAAATTCTTTTACTTCCACTCCTGCCATGCCAGATATCTTCTGACCAACGGTTAACATTAAGTCAGTATTTTTTTATAAAAACTGTCTTCAGGCTCTACTAAGAACAGAGTTTTTCTTTTTGAATTGAGTCCAATAGTATTTAGCCGATTGACTTTTTTTATCGTGAACATTGGTGATTTCATTTTTAATCACGTATTGTCCTTTTTCCTCGGGTGTTACCATCTTGTGGCGGAGTTTGTGCTTTTGAGTTTGGAACAGTTGTCTTATCATAGGAGGTTGTTTATTTTTTATTTGAAATTTTATCAAACTCATCACCTGGTGTGGATGGTGATGAAGAAAAGGAGGATTTTTGAGGCGTTAGATGATGTGGAAGCCGTTGAAGGACCGTTGGCGAGGAAAGTTTTTTCTGTTCTTTGCTTTTCTTATTTTTCTTTTTGGATTTGTACCGCTTGTTTCTACTTGCAGTACAACTTAAATTTACATTGATAAAATAAAATAAAATAAAATACTCTTCTTCAGGATTCATCAAATAAAAACTTCTTCATTCAAATAGAATAATACTTCGGTTTATTAAATCCTCATTTCCAAATACATAAATTGGTATCAAAATAGAAGTATACTGTAATAGTAAAACCCTGAAAACAAACAATTGATTTAATATTCTCTAGATATTTAATTTAATAGTTTCTTTTAAGAAATTCTTTTAAAGACAAATTTATTTACTATACATAATTAATCAGAATTAAACTTTTATTTTTGAGCAAAATCTTTAACGTTTTACCATTTTTAACAAAAGGTTTTAATTACTTTAA